GCCGTCCGAATTTGTCGGCCGATTCGAATCAAGTCGGGATGCCGAGTTCGGCTTGTTGGGGGGGACGCGCAGGCTCCTCTCTGGTGCGGGGCCTTGGGTCCAGCGCCGATCCGAGAAGTCACCGCGGTCTTCCGAGCTTTTATGTCTATGTCTTTGCTCGTCCCCTGCAAACATGCACCGGGAATGGACGTCCGAGCGATGGCAGGAGCCTCGATCGGCGCTGCGTGGCTCTGGGCCCCGAGAGGTGCCCCGTCCCCCAGGGGGGGAGGGGCGCGAGGGCGCCGAGGAGGGCGCGCGCGTCGGCTCCTGGGGGGGGGCGGGCGCGGCCCTCCCCGCATCGGAGTCGTTCCGGGCGGCGCCTGCGGGGGGACAGGTGCCTTGGTTTGCGCTGGTCCTCCTCTTTCCCCCTCCTCCCCCGAGAGGCCCAAGGGGCATGCTTCGATCAGGGGATGCATTGGCAGCCCTTCGGCCGAGCGCAGGAGGCGCGCCGCGTCGCCCGCGCCGCGCGAGAGGCCCGCAGCCGCACGGGCCGCCCGCGCCGCGCCGCGCGCGGCAGCCGGCGCGCTGCGCTGCTCGCGGGGCGGGAGCGCCGCCGCATCCGGGCACCGACGGGGGCGCCGCGCGGCGGGCCCGGCAGCAAGCGGACTGAGCATGTCACAGTGGCCTTCCCGCTTGGGCCTTCGGTGGCCCAAGTGGGAAGGCCACTGGGACACTAGGGGGACAAAAAAGTGGCATAAACATAAGAAATCGGAGGTCCGCGCGGAGTTCTCGGATCGGCGCTGGGGCCGCCCGGCGGCGCCTCCGGCGCCGCCCCCGGCGCGCTCCGCGCGCCGGGGAGGCGGATCCAGCGCCGATCCGAGAACTCCGCGCGGACCTCCGAGTCTTTATGTTTATGCCACTCTTTGTTCGCCGAATGTCCCAGTGGCCTTCGCACTTGGGCCTTCGGTGGCACCCGAGCGCCCACACGAATCACCGACGAGGGGGACCGACGGCGCGCCCCCGCCCAGGCGGTGTCGGCCTTCGCCGCCCGCGGCCTGCTGCCGATTGAACGACGAGAATAAAGGGGGGCCGCGTGCGAACCCTACCCTTCTGTCGGGCGTGTCCCCCTACAGGGGGATTTCCGACGAAAAATGAAAAAATACAGAAACAATGACCCAAAAGGGTAAAAGAAATGCAGAAAATTGTCCCCAGGCTATTTTTGTATTATTTTTTGAATATATATATTGGGGATTTTTTGTTTTTCGTCGAAAATTCCCCAGTAGGGGGACAGGCCCGACCTAACCCTACCCCTGTCCCCCACGATCTCTGAGGGGGAGGGTGGGGTGCACTTCGTGCGGGAGCTCCCGAGCGAAGGGAACCCCACCCTCCCCCCCAGCAATTAGGGGGGCTGGGGGCAGGGTGCGCATGTGGCCCCCTATAGAGAAGCCGCCGATGCCAGATCGGTGGTCCCCCCCCCTTGAGCCGGTGCCCCCGTCGAAGGAGAAGAATCGGCCCAGACCTGCGCTGGGCACCCCCGGGCGGCGCCTCCAGGGCAGCCCTTGGCGCGCTCCGCGCGCCAGGGAGGGGGGCCCGGCGCGGATCCAAGAACGCCGCGCGGAGCGCCAAGCAATTGTGTTTACGATCTGCTTTTTTGTTCTTCTACCCCTGACTTTCGATCCGAGAAATCCGGGAGTAACGCCACAAGTTTATGTCTATGGCGTTTTTTCTCCTTCTTCTCCGACCCCTGACGTTCGGCCTTCCGCGAGGGATCGAACGCTTGGCACCTCTTCCGCGGCGGAAGGCAGCGGGAGCTCGGCGGAAGCAAACGTTGGCCACCACCTGAGACATGGCGAATCTCTCTTTGGGGGGTGAGGGGACGTGGAGCCGGCCATGTTAAATATCTACGAGTTCGCGGGCGTGAGTCGTGTAACATAGCCATGTCCACGATACCCGGCCTCGCGGTCCAGACTCCGCGGCCGCGACCCCCCACCATGGATGCAGAGCGGCCATGCGCAGATGCCCCGCGCGGAGTTTATCTTGCAGATGGGCGTTTTGGGGATTGTCTTGGGGTCCACCCAATGGGTCTGTTCGATTCTAACAAGACTCTAGCTCGACTCTAGTTCGACTCAAGTTCGATTCAAGCTCGACCCAAATCGACAGACGGTCGACGCAGCATCGGCGCATGAATGGGGTGGCTCCAGGGAGGTCCCCAGGAAGAGTATCCAATATCTGTGGAATCCATGGGATCGCGCCTGGGTGTTCGGACGGCGAGGGCATGGATATATCATATATGGGAACGTTTGCGGCCCGTGGCTAACCTCTTGCTCTCGCCGCCGCCGCGAGGCCTTGCTCCACTCCGAGGTCTCGGCCGCCGGCTTCGGCTGCGCTCTGGACATCAGCGACGACGACAAGGCCATCGTGTTCGCCGTCCTGGCCTGAGAGCACAGCGCCTTCGCTCGCCACTTCGGGGCGGAGGTGCAGCGCAGCGCCTCGTCGCCGTCGTCGCCCTCCTCCTCCCCACCGCAGAAGGCAGCCCCAGACAATGATCGCGTCCGGAAGCAAAATGCGACGCGGAAGCTGTTTCTGCCGTTCCCGGCGTCCGGGGGCCCTCGCCGGGCCCCGGGACCATCCGCAAACCGACTCGGGATGGGAAATCCGGCCCTGGGAACATGGTCGAGACCTCCAGGGACCGCGTACTTGGTCAAAACAAGACATCGCATGTCTGGGTATGCCTTCGGAAGCCGAGTGCGTGTCTCGAGGAAGAAACACGCCATAATAAACATTAGCTTTGGGCGCTCCGCGCGGAGCGACACCAGTTTCTGTTTATGCCGTCGGTTCTTCTTCTGGTGCCCCGGGGCAGAGGGGAGGCCTGGGACGAGGGGGTGGACCGGCGCAGTTACTGGCTGCGCGCGCGCCGCGAGTTGTTTGGGGGGGGCTCTGCTCGACGGGGGCGGCCGTCTGAGAGAAGGCGGAATGGGCCTCTCGGAAGGGGGCGGTTCGCCGGTCACGGGCAGCGCCTCACGCCCGCTTGCCTCGCGGTGGAAGGCTGTGCGCAGGCGTGCACGTCCCTGGACTTCAGTCGGGCATGTCCCTCTACAGGAGGAAGATCCAAAAAGTGTCAAAACATAGTCCGAGGACCTTTTTTTCAGGTATGTTTGAGCATTTCTTGTCATTTGTTGGTTCTCGTTTTGATTTTCGTCCAGCATCCGCCTGTAGGGGGACACGCCCGACCTAAACCTGGACCCCCGACGCCGATACTCTAGGTCTCCTAGATGTGGTCGGAGTGGATGGGGTCGGAGAATCGACGATGCATTTTCGATGCGGCGCGACCCTCCGACCCCTTCCATTGGGACCCCATCGAGGAGGCCTCTAGATTTCTCTCCCAGCGTCGGGCCTCAGAAGATCCGGAGCCCTTCCCCAGACATCGAACGCATTGGAAAACATAATTCAGCCAGGCGGAGGTTTTGTTCTCCGTGGTCGGCCTCTCGGGGCCTTCGCCGGGCCCCCGGGGCCGTCAGGCAACGATGCAGGATGCACAGCCGGTCCTCGGGAAGGGGTCGAGGCTTCTGGTGGCCCCGCGGGTGGGAAAAATCAGAGCATCGAATCGCTGGGCCCCCCGGACGGCTTTCTTTTTATCCCAGGCACTCCCCCTCCTCCTCCCCCCTCCTCCTCCTCCTCCTCCTCCTCCTCCTCTTCCTCCTCCTCCTCCTCCTCCTCCTCCTCCTCCTCCTCCCCCCTCCTCCTCCTCCTCCTCCTCCTCCTCCCCCTCCTCCTCCTCCTCCTCCTCCTCCTCCTCCCTCCTCCTCCTCCTTCCTCCTCCTCCTCCTCCTCCTCTCCTCCTCCTCCCTCCTCCTCCTCCTCCTCCTCCTCCTCCTCCTCCTCCTCCTCAGTTTCTCTGTCCCAGAGCCCCGTAATGAAGCGCCTTTGGAAGTCAGGCATCGGACTGCAGGTTGATTCGAGCGAGCCCCACCCGAGCGCGCGAGGCTGGAAGCCCAGGGGGCAATGGGCCCCCTGAGGCCCAGCGGCCGCGGCGTGCATGCCATTCGTCGAAGACGCGAGGCGGGATAATGATTGGCACGGGGAGCACCAGGATCCTTGGGGCGCGCCCGCGGTACGCAGGGCGTGCGGAGCGGGTCGGGAGGCTTCCTTTCCAGTCTGCTGACCCCGCCCCGCTGGGTGGTGTCAGACACTCCCGTCGCGTCTTTTTCTCAGAGCGTGAATTACCTCCCCCGCTTTCGCTTCCAGGCAAAACCAAGTCATACCACGCGCCTCCTCGTCAAGCGGCCTGACCAGTACAGGCTGCAATTTGGCATCGTTTGGTATCCCTTGGAAGCGAGGGTGGTCAAAAGCGAGGTAGGTTTGTTTTCCCCCTATTTTCGAGACGCAGGGGTCTGTCCCCAGACCTGTGATGCCATGTTTCTGTTGCCCATCACGGGGCCCCCAGAAGAGTCTCGACCTCTCGGGGCCAGCTTGTCGGCCCGAGTCGCTTCCCGACAGCTCCGGGACCCAGACCAGCGAGGGCCCCCTGAGGCCCAAAATGGCCAGAAGGCTCGCGTCGCGTTCTCTTTGTGCTCCACGTGGCCGTCGGGGCGTGACCCGTCCCCTGAGCGGCGCGCTCCCTCCGCCCTCTCTTTCGGCCGCGCCCTCCGCCTGTTCCCTCGCCTGCATGGTGGCACAGTTCGCTCTGACGGCCCCCCCCGCTTAGGCCTTTCCGCTGGCGCAAACGACCCCTGCCTCGCCGCCGACGCAACAAGTGTTCCACGTGGCCCGTCGCTCTATCCTCCTAGATTGGTTCGGAGTGGATGGGGTCGGAGGATCACGCCGCATCGCCGATGCATCGACGATGCGGCTCGATGTGGAGCCCGCCTAGCTGCACGCCAGCGTCGCCAATGCATCGCCGACGTCGCCGATGCGGCGCGATCTTTCGTCCCCATCTACTCGGATCCCACCTAGGAGGCCTCCAGTCGTGATCCTCCTCACGGCGCGAGTGGGGTCGGCCTCGATCTCCGCCGCTGCCTCGCCTCGAGCAGCTTTGCGAGCCGGCGCCGGGCCGGAGCCTCGCCCAAGGCCCTCCGCCCCTGGGCCCGCGGGTGCGCGGGTGCGCTGCAGCCAGTGATGGGCCGATTTTTCACCACCAGCACCACCATACGTAGGAAGGGGAGGAGGAGGAAGATGAGGAGGAGGAGAAGAAGGAGGAGAAGGAGGAGGAGGAGGAGAAGGAGGAAGCAGACCTCCCCATCATTCCTTCTGCCCCGTCCTACCCATGGTAGTGGTGGTGGAAAATTGGCCCGTCAGTCGGGGAACCCAGAATCACATCAACGTGAACTGTCGGTGGTCCGTGCGGATTTTCCGGATCGGTACTGGAGACCCCTGCCAAGGAAGCTGCGCGGAGCTCCGAAAGGCTGTGTTTGTGTCATTGTTGGGGCGACGGAGGAAAACGGGGTCCTCTGCACCGACACTGGCGTACAAGCTGCCCGCGTGAGCTAGCGCGCAAGCGCCCTCATCTCCAATCTAGCGTGCCGCCCATGGCAAGATCACTCACGCGTCTGTGCTGTCATAGAGCGATCCAGCAGACAACGCACACAATGGACCAGGCCCGCGACCGGCGCGGATTGAAGCAAAAAGCTCGTTGCGTGGAGAACGCATGAAGTTCGAACAAGCAGCAGCGCCTCACAGCGGCGCGCGCTGTATGCCAGAGGTGCTGTGACAGAGTCTGCCAAAAGTCTACCCTGGCCGCGACACCTCACTCTTCTTGTGCCAGCGGCAGCGCTGGCAGCCCGCGGACACCACCGCGCCAGGTCCTTCGCCTAAGACCCTTTGCTTTCCGTCGCTCCTTTGTGTCATCGCTGGGCCGACGGAGGGAAACGGGGTCTTCTGCACCGACAGTGGCGCGCAGGCTGCCCGCGTGAGGTAGCGCGCAAGCGCGCTCGTCTCCAATCTAGCGTGCCGCGCTGGCAGCCCGCGCGAGCCACCGCGCAAGGTCCTTCGCCGAAGGCCCGTTGCTTTCCGTAGCTCTTCGGTTCTAGGGGAGCGAACAATGACATCAACATAAGAACTCGGAGGTCCTCACGGATCTCTCGGATCGGCGCTGGACCGCCCTGGCGGCGTCTCCAGCGCCGCCTTTGGCGCGCTCCGCGCGCCAGGGAGGGGGTCCAGCGCGGATCCAAGAAATCCGCGCGGACCTCCGAGTTTTTATGTTTATATCCTTTTTTGTTCCCCTGGGTTCCTCGCTACACAGGGGGCCCCGCCGCCCGCAGGCCACATGTGCGGGGGCGATGCGCCCGGCGTCGCGGACTGGGCCGGCAGCTGGGAGGTCAGCCGCAGGCCCCCCCGGAGGAGGGGGGGGGAGGAGCGGCACCACCACGCGGCGGCTGGGCGTCCGGGCCGCCCAGCTGTGGGCCAGCCTGAAGTCCGGCATGTCCCTCTACAGGAGGAATGTCCCAAACTAGTAGTCTTGAAATCGTCAGGGGACGTATTTTATTACATCTTTTGACTGTGTTTGAATGTAGTTTGATGGTTTTTTATACATATTTTCGCCAAACATCCGCCTGTAGGAGGACAGGCCCAACCTGAGGCCAGCCCGGAGGGCCGAGCCAGGCGGCGGAAGCCGAAGCCTACCCTCGCCGCAGGGGGGCAAGCAACGAGGGACGGGCTCGGCGGCGAAGTCCGCACCCTGCCCGAACCTCCTCCTCCTCCTCCTCCTCCTCCTCCTCCTCCTCCTCCTCCTCCTTCCCCTCCTCCTCCTCCCCCTCCCTCCTCCTCCTCCTCCCCCCCTCCTCCTCTCCCCCTCCTCCTCCCTCCTCCTCCTCTCCTCCTCCTCCTCCTCATCCCCTCCTCCTCCTCCTCCTCCTCCTCCTCCTCCTCCTCCTCCTCCTCCTCCTCCTCCTCCTCCTCCGTATCGTCGTGTATGGGGACGATGACCGTTCAGGTGGTTTTCGGGCCATGACACGGGCTGGCGCCCGTTCGGGTCGATCCGGGCACCCCCAGGCAGCTCTCGGCGAGGCGCTGCTGCTGACGAGCGTCCCGAGTCTGGAAAGCTGCAGAGGTCCGACGAAAACGCCCGAAAACCTCGAGCCTTGAATCCGACGTGTGTTAGCACGACGACTCGGTGGTGAAATCCGAACCCTACCTTCGCCGAGCAACGATTATGGCATCTCGATGGACGGCGGGGGTAGAGTTGGGAGTTCGTCGGACACGTCGCGAAGACCAAACCCTACCCCACGCCTCCCACCGATTCAGGAGAATCGATGATTGGTGGGGTTACGGTTCGGGTGTCGCCACCTAGCATTGCAGTTAGTTTCACGCGTCGGGCTCCAGGAGGCATACCGGCTCAGTCCAGCTCGAAAAGTGGTGTCGCAAGATGGGCGCTGGGGCTCTGGTCGTTCTTTGTGACGGCGTTCCGATCCTTTCGCGACGTCGCATTGCAGGGCATTGCACCGGATCGGAGGATCGCGCCGCGTTGCCGATGCATCGGCGATGTGGAGGCCGATTTTTTCTCCGCGCCGACGTCGTCGATGCATCGCCGGCGTCGCCGATGATATTTCTGAGGATGTTTTGGATCTTTTTGGTTTTTCGTGCAAAATTTGCCTGTAGGAGGACACGCCCGACCTCAGGGCAGCGGGTCGCTGCCGATATCGCCGCGGGCGTCGCCCTTGTAGGACGTGCGTCGCCAGCCCAGCAGCGGCCCCTGTCGGTTTTTGTTCACTCTCGCTGTTGGGCACGGTCCCCATGTTTCCCCATCCAGGCTCCGACCGTGCCAAGCGGCCACCCCGATTTAGACCCGTGGCCTCTTGAAAGCTCAAGGTGGATCCGAGGCTGGGACACCCAGGGGGGGGCCCAGGACGCCATCAGAAGGCCAGAGCGCTCCGGAGCCACCGCGGCGCCCGCCAGTGCTCAAAGGCTTCGGAGGTGCGTCGATGCGACGTTGTCCTCGCCCTGGCTCCGTCTCCAAGGTCGCGAGCCCTGGATGCCTCGGGGTTTGAGCAGGCCAGGCCTCCTCTCGGAGGGCCTGTTGCCTCCCCGAGCCGAGCGGTGCCGTACCGGAGAGGTCCGGGGCGGGGCGGCCGAGAGACAGCGACCGCACACCACCACGGTGGCGCGGCGTTCCTCTCCGAGGCAGGGGATGGACAGTCGGGGCCCTGGAGAAGGAACCCTTTTCGTTGGGGAGGGGCTCGGTGTTCCTTGATTGTTTCACAGCTTGCCTTAGGGTTTTTTTCCTTAGGTTTTCGATATGGAATCGAAGTTTAACTCATGGAAAATAGGGGCCTCGTTCCTCATTTAGGGTTCCTTAGGTCAGCGCACCGACTGTACACATGAGGCGTGCCAAAAAGGGCCTTGCCTCCGAGGGTCGCAGGAGCTGTCGTCTCTTCCGCGGCGGAAGGGCGGCGGAAGTACAACGAGGCCGCCTCCGCCGGCGGAAGCCGGCGGAAGGGCGGCGGAAGTGAAAGATGCGCCCCCCAAGAGATGAAAGCATTTTTGGATTCAGGGTTTCCGAAATCCCCCACCCAAGTGTCCACCGCCTGGGGCCCTTTGTCCAAAGTTGAGCGATCAGCGCTTCAGGTTGAGCGATCCGCGTGGTGTCGGAGACCAACTTTGACGTCACATTGGTGTGAACCTGACGCATGACTTCCCAGGACTTTGGGAGGTGGTGTATGGGCATGACCTCGCAGAACCTCGGGACCCCAGACAAAAAGTGTCCACACCAACGGCAGGAAGACCGTATCATGTGACATGGTGTAATATCTTGCATAAGGTATGTCCCCCAAGGCCCAAAGTTGAAGTGTCAGCATGTTGTCCTTTATGCGTTGTCTGGCGTGCACCGCTGTAAGTTTTGGGTTTGAGAAGGGAGCTATTGATTTGGTTGGGTGCACTTCGCCGTAGCGTTGTCTTGGTCCTGTGAGGTCGGTTCCCATGCGGTATATGTATACGTATCTGCCTCGCGCTGCGTCGAGCAACCATGATAGCCCTCGTCTGCCCTTTGGCCATGGTGGTCGTTTCGTGTTCCGCAGGGAGAACTGGGAGGCCTTCCTGAACTTCTCTGGCGTTCCGGCGGCGGCTCATGAGGCCGCAATCAAGGCGGTTGACTTCCACCGTTACCGCATGGACGAGGACAGCTGGGTCATGGACCACCGCATTCCTGTGCAGGCCATGCATCTGCTCTTCCGCGCGGACTTCGACGGAGAGCTCCACGACTGCCCCTATCCCAGGCCGTGGCTCCTCTTGGTGTAAGGGCGTGCCGATGCGGGGACGAGCGTTGCACTTTGTTCGGCTCCGGGGGCCACCTGCTCTCGCGCAAGTAGAGCTCCCCCTCTCCTTGCTTCCCAGGGGGCTCGTCTCGCAGACACCCCGCCCCTGCAAAGAAAGCCCTGCCCCACGCAGCCCCGCGGCGACAGGCCGACCGTGAAGCACTGGGCCCCGGGCGACGACGGAGCACCCGCGAGGGCCCTGCAGTGGAGGAACACGTGGGTGAAGCGAGGCACCCACTTCAGGACCCGGGTGGGCAACCGCACGGGCGGGCCATGCTGCAGGGGGAGGACGAGAGGTGCCGATGCCGCCGCTCGTCCCGAAGATATCCCTCGCCGCCGCGGCCGGAGTCGTCGAAGTCCTTGCTGCTCGCGAGGCGTCGACCCCCGGGGAGCAGCGGCATCGGTGCCGTGTGGACCCCCCAGATCAGCTGGGTGTGCCAGCATATAGTGCCCCCCTGCGGTGGTGTCTCCTTCCCCCCGCCGCGCCGGGGAACTCACTGGAAGCCGGGGCACCCACTGAAAGCGAGGCCGACGACGACAGCGACGACGACGAGGACGAGGACGACGACGACGACGACGACGACGACGACGACGACGACGACGACGACGACGACGACGACGACGACGACGGACGACGACGACGACGACGACGACGGACGACGACGACGACGACGACGACGGACGACGACGACTACGAAAACGGAAAAGCGTTTCACATGCGCCGAAGGGTCGGGTGGTTCGGGTTCACCAGGCTCACGTGCACCCCAAGATGTGGGCATACGTTTTGTTCGGGTCGCGCGTGCGATTGCCGCAACAGAAAGCGGACCAGCTAGGATCGTGGTGCACTTGCTTTCGGGTCATAACCCAGGTCTCCAGCGGCCGTTCGGTACGATCCCGGCACCCACGGAGCGCTCTAGACGAGGCGCAGCTATAAGAATCCAACTCGTCGCTCGAAGATTCTCGACCATATTAATTTCCAGTGGATGAGAGGGGGAGGTGTGTACACGACCCAGGAGATGCCAGATCTCGACCTCCGCCGTCGCCTCCTCCGCCTCCTCCTCCTCGTCCAAGGAGCTGATGGTGCCAGCGCTCTTCTCCAGAACCACTTGCGAAACCTACTCTCGCGGGTCCAACCGCCGCTGGAGTATCGGACACCCCCGTTGGGGTTCACCTGTTTACGGACATCCTTCAGCTTATGAACCCGGGCTGGCTTTTCAGTTTTTTTCTGCAGGGACGCGCCCCTCCTGCTGCCCACTGCAGGACCGAGATACCCGACTTCTTCGGCGAGGGCAAGACGTTCGTGCTGGATAGGGAGCTGGTCGCCAAGGCGGAGCTCGACCAGGGAGGGCGGGAGCGAACCGCCGAGGAGCTTCGAGGGGGGGGGATGGGGGAGCGGGAGGGAGAGGGGACGTGTTGCTGGGAGGTGGGGCTCGACGTCCACACCGCGCCGCTCGGCCGGCCAAGAAGCCAATCCCCTCGGCGCTCAGACGCTCCGGGCGCCCCCTCGTGCTGGCCAGCGGGGGCGCCCTGCAGCCTGCACGCCCAGCTCCTTGCTGGCCGAACGACGTGGTGCCCGCACCGAGCCGTCTGGCCCCTCCCAGGATGGGAGGCGGGGCGGGGGCGCGGGGTGTGTGTGGGGGGGGGGGGGGCGGACTGATTCGGCCTCTTGAGGCCTCAGGGCCCCCCTGTGTCAGGGCGCAGCTGCAGCGCTGTGCCCCCGGAGCGGCAAAGACCGCAGCCTCCGCGGCACCAGCCGCGGAGGCGTCGGCCGCGTCGCGTGCGCGACACTGGGCCGCGCTCGAAAGGCTCGAAAGGGGGGGGCGGACCGCGGGCCCCCGCGGGGGGCAGCTCCTCGGAGGTTGCCCCTCGGCCCCGCGCGGGGCGGGGGGAGGCCCCGCGGGCGCCCCCCCCGAGGAGGCACGTCGCGCTCCGCTCTCGCCCCAGCTGGGCCGTAGGGGCTGGGCGAGGCTTCTGGCACGGCGCCGCGGCGCCGCGAGGGCGCCCCAGGACCGAGGCGCCTCGGCGCTTTGCCGTCCTGGTGCCGCAGCGCCACGTCGCCACTCCGTGCAGGTGCCAGCGCAGCCCCTCGCGACGCCCCGGCGGAGGCCATGGATGACCAGCTCGGAACAGACAGCTCCATCCTTGTGTCTGACATCAGCTTACCTATGTGATGATTTCAAGGATTTCCTCAGTTTCTGAGGTCGCGTCCCTAAGATTGTCATCGCCCTGGGCTTGCCGATCTCAGGGACAGGAATGAGTTCGAGGTTGGTTAGTCGAGTGAAGAGCTGCTGGGAGCGGGGCTGTAAGCAGACCCACCCCGGACTCCCCCGCCAGTGCGTCCCCTGTGCCGCAGCCGGCCGCCTGCAGGCAGCGGGTGCTGCAGCCGCTCCAAAAGATTCCCCCGGAGGGAGCGCCACGCGGCGGCGGTCCGCTCCGCTCTAGGGGGTAGCAGGGGGGGCAGCTTTCCTGGAGCCCTCCCACGATTGGCCTCTTTTCCACCACCACCATACGTTGGAGGGGGGAAAGGAAGATGATGCTGATGATGATGATGATGATGATGATGATGATGATGATGGTGATGATGATATTGATGATGATGATGATGATGATGATGATTATGATGATGATGATGATGACGATGATGATGATGCTGATGATGATGATGATGATGATGATGATGCTGATGCTGATGCTGGTGCTGATGCAGATGCTGATGCTGATGCTGATGCTGATGCTGATGCTGCTGCTTATGCTGATGCTGATGCTGATGCTGATGCTGATGCTGATGATGATGATGATGATGATGATGAGATGATGATGATGATGATGATGATGATGATGATGATGATGATGATGATGATGATGATGATGATGATGCTGATGCTGATGATGATGATGATGGTGATGGTGATGGTGATGGTGAT